TTCACATGGTTAGTCATAAAGTCCTACATAAAACTTGTAGATCACTAAATATGATATGTTTGATTCCTTGCAATAGTTTTGCGATATAAAGATGGTGATATTAGAGTCATACTAGTGGGTAGTTGTGGATTAGTAGAAATACTTGTGTTGAGGTTTGTGATTCCCGTAGCATGCATGTATGGTGAACCGTTATGTAACAAAGTCGGAGCATGAGGTATTTATTGATTGTCTTCCTTATGAGTGGCAGCTGGGGACGAGCGATGGTCTTTTCCTACCAATCTATCCCCCTAGGGGCATGCGTAGTAGTACTTTGCTTCGGGGGATAATAAACTTTTGCAATAAGTATGTGAGTTCTTTATGACTAATGTTGAGTCCATGGATTATACGCACTCTCACCCTTCCATCATTGCTAGCCTCTCTAGTATCGTGCAACTTTTGCCGGTACCATAAACCCACCATATATCTTCTCCTCAAAACAGCCACCATACCTACCTATCATGGCATTTCCATAGTCATTCCGAGATATATTGCCATGCAACTTTCATCATCATCATATACATGACTTGAGCATTCATTGTCATATTGCTTTGCATGATCGTAAGATAGCTAGCATGATGTTTTCATGGCTTGTCCGTTTTTTGATGTCATTGCTATGCTAGATCATTGCACATCCCGGTACACCACCGGAGGCATTCATATAGAGTCATATCTTTGTTCTAGATATCAAGTTGTAATAATGAGTTGTAAGTAAATAAAAGTGTGATGATCATCATTATTAGAGCATTGGCCCCCAAAAAAGGAGAGGCCAAAGAAGCCTAAATAAAAAGGGGGCCAAAGAAGCCCATTCAAAAAAGGGGCAATGTTACTATCCTTTTACCACACTTGTGCTTCAAAGTAGCACCATGATCTTCATATAGAGAGTTGCTTGAGTTATCACTTTCATATACTAGTGGGAATTTTTCATTATAAAACTTGGCTTGTATATTCCAACGATGGGATTCCTCAAATTCCCTAGGTCTTCATGAGCAAGCAAGTTGGATGCACACCCACTAGTTTCAGTTTGAGCTTTCATATACTTATAGCTCTAGTGCATCCGTTGCATGACAATCCCTACTCACTCACATTGATATCTATTGATGGGCATCTCCATAGCCCGTTGATATGCCTAGTTGATGTGAGACTATCTTCTCCTTTTTGTCTTCTCCACAACCACCATTCTATTCCACCTATAGTGTTATATCCATGGCTCACGCTCATGTATTGCGTGAGGGTTGAAAATGCTGAAGCGCGTTAAAAAGTACTCCCTCCGTAAATTAATATAAGAGTGTTTAGAATACTAAAATAGTGATCTAAACACTCTTATATTAGTTTACAGAGGGAGTATGAACCAATTGCTCGGCTTGTCATCGGGGTTGTGCATGATGTGAATATTTTGTGTGGTGAAGATGGAGCATAGCCAGACTATATGATTTTGTAGGGATAACTTTCTTTGGCCTTGTTATTTTGAAAAAACATGATTGCTTTATTAGTGGGCTTGAAGTATTATTGTTTTTATGTCAAATGATAGACTATTGCTTTGAATTACTCATGTCTTAATATTCATGCCATGATTAGATATGTGATCAAGATTATGCTAGGTAGCATTCCACATCAAAAATTATCTTTTTTATCATTTACCTACTCGAGGACGAGCAGGAATTAAGCTTGGGGATGCTGATACGTCTCCGTCGTATCTATAATTTTTGATTGTTCCATGCCAATATTCTACAACTTTCATATACTTTTGGCAATTTTTTATATTATTTTTTGGGACTAACATATTGATTCAGTGCCCAGTGCCAGTTCCTGTTTATTTCATGTTTTATGTTTTGCAGAATATCCATATCAAACGGAATCCAAACGGGATAAAAATGGACGGAGAATATTTTTGGAATATTTGGAGAATCCCGGAAGAAAAATCCAGGCGAGACGGTGCCCGAGGTGGCCACGAGGCAGGGGGCGTGCCTGCCCCCCTAGGCGCGCCCCTGACCTTCGTGGGCCGCCCGTAAGGCGGTTGATGCCCTTCTTCGGCCGCAAGAAAGGTAATTTTTGGTAAAAAATATCATGGCGAAGGTTTCGGTCCAATCGGAGTTACGGATCTCCATATATATACGAAACGGTGAAAGGGCAGCAGAACAGAACGCAGAAACAGAGAGAGACAGAGAGACATATCCAATCTCGGAGGGGCTCTCGCCCATCCCATGCCATGGAGGCCAAGGACCAGAGGGGAAACCCTTCTCCCATCTAGGAAGGAGGTCAAGGAAGAAGAAGACGAAGGGCCCCCCTCTCCCCTTCTCTTCCGGTGGCGCCGGAACGCTGCCGTGGCCATCATCATCATCACCGTGATCTACTCCAACACCTCCGCCATCTTCACCAACATCTCCATCACCTTCCCCCTCTATCTATAGCGGTCCACTCTCCCGCAACCCTCTATACCCTCTACTTGAACATGGTGCTTTATGCTTCATATTATTATCCAATGATGTGTTGCCATCCTATGATGTCTGAGTAGATTTTCGTTGTCCTGGCGGTGGTTGATGAATTGCTATGATTGATTTAATTTGCTTGTGGTTATGTTGGTGTCCTTTGGTGCCCATCATATGAGCGTGCGCGTGGATCACACCATAGGGTTAGTTGTATGTTGATAGGACTATGTATTGGAGGGCAAGAGTGACAGAAGCTTCAACCTAGCATAGAAATTGATGCATATGGGATTGAAGGGGGACCAATATATCTTAATGCTATGGTTGGGTTTTACCTTAATGAACGTTAGTAGTTGCGGACGCTTGCTAATAGTTTCAATCATAAGTGCATAGAATTCCAAGTCAGAGATGACATGCTAGCAGTGGCCTCTCCCACATTAAACTTGTTATCGGTCTAGTAAAGTAGTCAATTGCTTAGGGGCAATTTCGCAACTCCTACCACCACTTTTCCACACTTGCTATATTTACTTTATTGTTTCTTTATCTAAACAGCCCCTACTTTTTATTTACATAATCTTTGTTAGCTTGCAAACCTATCCAACAACACCTACAAAGTACTTCTAGTTTCATACTTGTTCTAGGTAAAGCGAACGTTAATCGTGCGTAGAGTTGTATCGGTGGTCGATAGAACTTGAGGGAATATTTGTTCTGCCTTTAGCTCCTCATTGGGTTCGACACTCTTATTTATCGAAAGAGGCTACAATTGATCCCCTATACTTGTGGGTTATCAAGCACGGTTTTTAAAAGCACCCTTGGGCCTGGCCCGTTGGGAACGGCGAATCGGCAGTGTCCCGAGAGCCAGGCCCGAGCGATGCTTCCAGGCGCACGTGGGTGGCTCTCTGGAGACGTGTGTCTCGGGTTAATCCCCCCATCTCTCCCTAATCCTCAATCCCTCTCTCTTCCTCTACTCCAATGCGATCCCGTCCGCCATGGGAGCGGGTGCTTCTTTGCACGGAGGTCGCGGAAGTATGTCCGGGGATCACTCCCGAACGTGCCGCGCGGCATGCGCGCGCCGCCACCGCCGGGAGCCATCATCGTTCGCCCGCCGCTGCGGCGGTCGCAGCAGCAGCGGCAGCACACTGGGCGAGCCAGTGCCGCACAAGCGCGCCGAGCGCGGCCGGGAGCACCACGGTGACGCCCACGCGAGCGTCTCCAAGCGGGTCTCCGGCGGGAAGAGCTCCGTCGTCGTCCGCGCGCGCGTGCATCGCGCCCGACCGCCTCCTGCCCTGCTGCTCCAACCCCGCTCAGCCCCCTGCAGCGCGACTGCTCCCCTCCCCGCGCGCCCGCAGGACGGCCCCGCGCCACCGCGCCTGCCCGTCGGTTGGCCGCGCCGGCTGCTGCCGCGCCTCGCGTTGTCTCGCCACCTGCTCCCCTGCCTCGCCTCCCCTGCACACGCGCCTCACACCGGAGGCCATGGCCACTCCGCTCCCGGGCGCCCGCTTCGCCGCGTACCGCGCTGCTCTGCCCGCTACTAGCAAGCACACCGGCGGCCCCCTCGCTCCGCCTCGTCTCCTCGCTCGTGCGCCACCAGGGGTGGAGCCTCTCGCGCCCGGGGCGGCGCCCTGCTGCAGCAGCTTTGCCTGACGGCTTCCTCCCCCAGCGGGCCACTGCGCCGTGGCCGCTGCCTCCTCCCCGCCGCAGCGCTCGCGTCCGCGCCCGCCCCGCCAGCGCCTCCTGCCTGCCTCTTGCCGAGCGCTGGAGCGGGCGGCCAGGCTGCTGGCGCTCTACGGCGCGAGCATCGTGGAGTACACGAGCTAGGCGGACGCGACGACCATCCCGGGGCACTACGTGGTGTACTGGGAGCTGAGTTCAAGGACAGCCGCGAGGGGCCGTTGTCGGAGGCGGCGGTGTTCGAGCGGTGTTGCCTGGAGATGGAGGTGGCGCACGGCTTCTACGATGAGCTGCCCCGTCAGGCTCCGGTGCCGGCCAATTCGACGGCGCACTCAACGTGTTTGAGGAAATGAGGCCGTCGGCGTCAAGCCAAACTAGGTCGCTATTAAGTGTACTTGTTAACTTCTAGTCATATGCATGTATGCAACCAAACGCTGGGTGAAAATTGCATCTCGATGACAAGACCTCCTAATGCAGGCAACCAATCAAATTTGACATCTACGTTTTTGGCTTCGTTTTCTCTCACCCAGGACCTGATCAGTCTGGCTCGTTTTTTTCCTCTGAGCCAGGCCCGGCAGTGAAAGCAACCAAACACGCCCTTGGTCAACACGTTATGACCGGTTTTCGCTAATTGACGGGGTGACTCTGTTGGCCTTAATTCATTTTTTATGAAAGTGAAAAGTCTTTCACCTTGTTTATTAACAGAAAATACCCAAATTCTCAAAAAAGAAAAAAGAAAAAAGGTGGCATCCAAATACCCTAGCCCCCAAATCGAGCTCGCAGCAGTTGCGAGTGGGGATTCCTCCGCCGGCATCCGGCATCCGGCGTCTCCGGTCCATTCCCCATTCCCCCGCCACCTGCAATTCCATGGGGGCGGGTCACAGCGTCGGGCGTCGGGATTCCGACGCCGGAGCAGGCGGCGAGGACCGCCTCAGCGCGCTTCCAGACGACGTGCTCGTCAGCATCCTCGTCAAGCTCCGCGACGCCGCGGCCGCCGCCCGGGCCAGCGTCCTCGCCCGCCGGTGGCGCTGCCTCTGGCCCCTCCTCCCGGAGCTCGCCTTCGCCGACGGCATCCAGCACCACCGCATAGTCCCCGCCCTCGCCGCCCACGAAGCGCTGGACCTCCGCGACATCCAGGTTGCCACCCGAGAGGCCTCCGTCGAGTACCTGGCGGTCTGGCTCCCCATCGCCGCGCGCCGCCTCTCCGGCTCCATGCACCTCCGGGTGGTGTGGCACGAGGGCGAGGCCGAGGTCCGGGCGGCGCTGGAGCCCGAACAGAGAGGGGCCATCCTGCTCCCTTGCTTCCGGCGAGCCACCTCCGTCGTACTCGAGTTCTCGTTTCTCCGCCTCGTCCTGCCGCCATCCGGGGTGTTCGCCCGGCTCCAAATCCTCATGCTGGTCGGCATCCTCGTGTACGGGCAGTGCAGCCTCGGCGACGCCGTCTCTTCCCCGCGCTGCCCATGCTTGAAGGTTCTCTTCGTCCAGAGCGCCCGCGGTCTGGGCAGCTTCAGGATCCACTCCAGGTCCCTCCTGCAGCTGCAGCTGTCGGATCTGCGCGACATGCAGCAGCTCACCGTCGTCGCGCCGTTGCTCCAGTTCTTGAGAGTGAGATGGTGCTTTACCAATGTAGCATATACACTGAATCCAAGTCAACCAGTAGCCAGGATCTCAGCCCCTCTCCTGGAGAAGCTCGAATGGATGTGTGATTTCGTTCCTAGCTCTGTCCAGCTTGGTGAGATGCCACCACATCTCCGACGCCTTGTCGCTGGAATCATCATGGTATATGGATCAGATTGCATTGCTCCACACAACCGTTGTTGCATTGGCATTCTGCAGCGCTCTGAGCGTCTCGCTGCTCTCCGCCTCTGCCTTGCCTATCCGCCGGTGAGTGTGTGAGTTCACTCTTATTTGTGTTTTTATTACATCATTGTCGAGTCGATAGATAACGAGGCAAGCAATTCATACTTACTTCAACTTGGGGAATGTGTCATTTCGTATATCTGTCTGCAAAAGAAAAGAAAAAGCACACTATAGGAGAAGCGACGTTTGTTTGTGTCCTGATCAAACTACGTAGTATTTACAACCTTTTTGTGACTCCCTTTGAACTTGCAGGTCATAGGTAACCACAAATACTTGACGGAAGACATGACAAGGCTCCCCGACGTTGACTACTTGACCCTAGATATATTTTCATGTGGACATTCCTTTGGACCCAGCTCATTCCATCTTCTCAGGATGCAGTGGCGGAGCTAGCCCATAAATGCAGCCCGGGCATGACTGAACTGTGACAGCGTGAGCTGAGACCTGCCCAAAGAAATAAGTCTTCTAACCATAGATTATCAGTAGTGCTTAGTAGTAATTTTTTTGACTAGCCCGGGCAGCTGCCTGGGGTCGCCGGGAGGTGGCTCCGCCACTGTCAGGATGTGCTCTCGTTTGACAATACTCAAGATCAGATTTTCTTGCCAACTGCCGGTAATGCACTCCTTAATTTTTTTTAATCTGATGATACTTCAGTTACCAGAAAGTCACATAAAGAAATATGTCAATACATATTTGTTTTTCTAATTAAGCACCAATTAGCCTTGAGCTGCTAGTTTCACCGCTCTTCATTTTGGTTCGACACTGATAATATGGTATAAAGTTTATCTGTGGTAACTATATGCCTTGTGCATCTCCTAGTGACAACCATTCACTTTTCGTGTTTTTCAGAATTTGGCAGTACTATTTTGGTTCAGAAATGTGCAATACTTCTTTGGTCGGCAACTTCGTAATAGGTTTCACCTCAAATGATTGCCGGTTTCATTCGATACTGCTCCTCTTCTTCAGCAAATTCAAGATCTTCATTTTCTTCATTTTGGGTGGGGTAGGGTGTGTGGTGGGCAGGTGCATAATACACTGAAGGTTCAAGACAACAATACTAATACATTCTTTCTACGACCTTTCTATCTGCTAATCCTACTTTCTGCGTTATCTTGGCTTCGAAGTATTTTCCTGCATTTCATCATTTTCAGCTTTATCTCCCTTTTTTTACTTTTCAAGGACAAGCAAGATCGCATAATCTTTGTATTATAGAAGAAAAGACTTGACGGCTGAACTGTAAAATGCCACCAAGGTGATACCGTGATAGCAACCAAATTAGAAGCAAGTTACAGGCGACCAAGCTACAAACTTTATCACTTGGTCTTTCCTAAGCTGACACCCCCTCTTCTTTCAGGCACAAACCGGTTGCTTCTCAGGTTGCATATGCGATCAGCCACCAAACTGGAAAACCGAAGAACTCGGGCTGATCTGGCTCGAAGAAGTACAGATCTTGAGCTTTGCAGGAACTGAACATGAAGTCGCTTTTCTGAAACGGCTATTCAGCTGGGCAACATCGCTGAAAAGGATGATGGTAACATTCCACGACTCCATCACTGAGAGCAAGGGAAGAGAGCTACAGCAGCTGTTACTAAGCTTCTCCAGACCAGAAATATGTATATGCATATTACCATGTAGTGCTCCATCTTGAACAAGGTTTCATACTGTTATGTTCTACACCAACCCTGTTCGCGTGCACTAGTTATCAAGTGGAGCAACTTTACTTTTGCGAGAGCGGACTCGTTTAGCTTGTTTAACTGGAGTAGCTTGTTCCAGTATTGGCGAGACTGAACTCTTAACTTATTTATCTCTACTAGCTTGTGTTCCAGTATTTGTGGCCAGGGCACTGAACTGTACTTGTGTCGATTAATATGGATCAGAAGGAGTAACTTGTTTCCATGCTGGATGCACATTTGGGGCACGAGTGAAACTTCATAGAGTAAGTATTTGGCTCGTCCGTGCTTGCCAATCTTGCCATCTTTTTTTGGTAGAATCTTCTTCGCATTTAGGGTCAGCTTCTGTTGCGGGCGATCATTTGAGCATTGCTACGCACACTACGTTGTGTGGACGATTTGCGCACGACGGCGTGGATCAACTTGTCCATTCATATCACCAAAGGTGCAGCCACAGCTGGATTGGCTTTGTGCAAGTTTCGTCTAGGCTATTCATCGTCCACAGAGCAGTTTCGCGATCATTTTACCGAGCTGGTTTGATTTACTAGTTCTCTGCCTGTGTTACTCGACTTGCGGTTTCTTCTCGACTTCCGGGTCAAATTGAATCGCTCTGTTTGCCCTAACCTTGTTTGATTCAATACGACCGTTGTTCTTGATGATTCCCGTATATTTTTTTCCAAAAAGCAGACCTTTTTTAAAATTTGGGAACAAAATTTGAAAACAGGAACATTTTTCTGAAATTCTGAACCAATTTCTGAAAAAGACAAACATTTTTTTTAAAATCCACAAACATTTTTTGAATATGTGAACAATTTTTGAAACGGGAACATTTTTGTAAATCTGAAAAAGTTTGAAAAATGTAACCATTTTATGTATTCATGAACAAAATTTGGAAAAGGGAAAATTTTTAAATTCTTTATTTGAAATTTTTTCAAAACTCCGATTTTTTTGAAAATATGAACAATTTCGGAATCTTTGATTTGAAAATTGGAAAAACATTGAAACCCTGAACTTTTTTGAAAAGGTGAACATATATGAAAATTTCCAAATACATTTTGATAATACGAGTATTTTTTGAATTAGTGGGCCAAATTTGAAAACATGGACAATTTTTTGAAATCTGATAATCTTTTGGAGATACGAACTTTTTCAAAATTACCGAACTCTTTTAAAAACGCGAATTGGAATTTGTGAACAAGATTCGAAAATACGAATATTTTGGAAGTTTAAACATTTTTTAAATTTTCGAAACAACATTTTAAATTTACGGGAAACCCGACACGGTTCCCTAAAAAATAAAAAGAAAAATCGATTCGCGTGCGCGTTACGCGGTGCGGGTGCTAGCGAGAGATAACGCGGGAAACGGGGTACCCAACGGCTATTTCGCGCGCCCTTTCTTCTTCTTCGCCTGCCTCCTCCTCCAGTACTCTGCCGCCAAGCAATCCACATCCACCCGCCCCCAACGGATCCAACGCTCGCAGGAACGCCGTCTCGATCGCCAGCGAAGCTCTCCGGGATCCGCCTCGCGCCCAACGCCCGTTTGGTTGCTGGTCCCTGTCTCGTTTCTTGAATCTCGTCCGCGCGCGTGCTAGTCTCCAGGATCTCGTTTCTTGAATCGATTTGGCTTACGGTTTCTCGTCGATTTCCGCGTCGAATTGAATTGCTCTGTATGTCTTGAATCTTGTTCGCATCGATTGTTTCTTGCTGTTCTTGATGACTCTGACCGACATGACATCACCAGAGAGGAGCAGCGGGGGATGTGCGTCATCGTGGCCGCCGCTCCAGGAGGCCGGCTCCAGCCCCTACATGTCGTCGCTCTGCTCGCCGTCCGGCATCCCCGCCGTCAAGCGATATGTGAGTTCTCGATCCCGTGCCCCGTCTTTGCTGGTGCTCTGTGCGTGGAGGCCGTTCGACGAAATGCCTGCCTGAACGGGTGCTAAATCTTCTTGCTTTCCAGGGCGACAGGTTCATCCCCAACAGGTCCGCGATGGACATGGACATGACGCACTACCTTCTGACGGAGCCGAGGAAGGACAAGGAGAACGCGGCGACACCGTCGCCGGCCAGGGAGGCGTACCGGAGGTTGCTACCTAAGAAGCTGTTTAACAACCACACCAGGATCCTCGCTTTCCAGAACAGGCTGCCTGAGCCTGCCAACAACTTCCTCGCAGAGCTGCGTGCCGATGCGGCTTCCATCCAGGACAAACCGGCGAAGCAGCGTCGATACATCCCTCAGGTACGGCACGCTTTGTTGTGGTGGTGCTCATTGGTGTTCCAGTTTTAGTGCTGATTGGTCATGATTACTGACTCTATCTATGTACAATGTAAACCTGATGATGAAGTCCCCAGAGAGGATGCTGGATGCGCCAGGCCTCGTTGATGATTACTGCCTTAACCTGCTGGACTGGGGGAGCGCCAATGTGCTGTCGATTGCACTGGGCAACACGGTATACCTTTGGGACGCCTCAAGTGGCTCGACGTCTGAGCTCGTTACCGTTGATGAGGACGATGGCCCTGTCACTAGTGTTAGCTGGGCTCCTGATGGCCGCCACATTGCTATTGGCCTCGACTCCTCAGCTGTCCAGCTCTGGGATTCCACCTCTAACCGACTGGTAGGTCCTTTTTGGCCTCTCCTGTTGATGCTTTATTTTATTAGCAGCATAATTTTTATGTTTAGTCGCTGATCATTATTTTCATTCTGCAGCGGAGAACGCTGCAAGGTGTGCATGAGTCGAGAGTTGGTTCACTGGCATGGAACAACAACATCCTGACCGCTGGTGATATGGACGGCAAGATTGTGAACAATGATATGAGGATTAGGAACCATGCCGTGCAGACATACCATGGGCACCACCAGGAGGTGTGTGGACTTACGTGGTCAGGATCAGGGAAGAGGTTGGCCAGCGGTGGGAACGACAGCCTCCTCCACATATGGGATGTGTCTATGGCATCGTCTGCACAATCTACAGGTCGCACCCAATGGTTACACAGGCTTGACGACAACTTGGCTGCCGTGAAGGGGCTTGCATGGTGCCCATTTCAGAGCAACCTGCTGGCATCCGGCGGTGGCGTAGGTGACAGATGCATCAAGTTTTGGAACACACACACTGGCGCATGCCTTAACTCTGTTGACACTGGGTCACAAGTGTGTGCACTGCTCTAGAACAAGAATGACAGAGAGCTGTTGAGCTCGCATGGTTTCACGCAGAATCAGCTCGCCCTATGGAAGTACCCGTCGATGGTTAAGATGGCTGAACTCAATGGCCATGCTTACCCTGTCCTCTACATGGCCCAGGTAATCTTTGCTCCCTATGCTTTTTTGTAGCTAAGTTGACACATATTGTGTGCGCAGATGGCTAATTATGGTTGTCTTTTGTTGACCTTTGCAGAGCCCTGATTGTTAACATGTATTGTATAAACTCATGTATGTGTACTCTAGTCCGCTCCTGATCTTTAGGATCTGAGCCCTCGCCCAGGCCTGCGTGCCACCTAGTTCGGGCTCCCTTGTAACTTCTTGTATAAATTGTACAGTCCGCATCCAAGGCAATACACAGAGCAAATTCTATCGCCTAACTCTGATGGTTGCACAGTGGCATCTGCTGCGGCAGATGAGGAACTGCGGTTCTGGAACGTCTTTGGGACTTCTGATGCTCCGAAGGGAACGTTCAATTGTTATAATCACATCCGCTAGAGAGAAGTCGATTTATAACTCTGAACTACCACCAAAGTCTAATATCCAAACCCCCAAACTTCAAAACCGTCCACTTCAGTATGCCCGTAACTTATATTAGTTGCTACTTTTACATTGATCCAGATGAACGTCAAGACCAGTTTGATGTATTATACATAACAGATGTCGGTGATATATAGTATTTTTTGTAATGAACTATGCACCGTCTCGAAAGCATGTGTCGTCCGAGAGAATTCGAACTGTTGCCTCTCAAACTATCTTGTGATGTTTCCTACTGACTCTGGTTTTGCTGTTGACATGTGAGAGGCCTGGAGGTGCTTCTCTTTTGGTTGCCTTCTTTATACAACTTGAAGCTATCATGTTCTGTGACCACTATTTGATCATGTTATTCTTTACAGGAAATACAACTTGCTTCTGCAATGGAACTTGGATATCCCCACCAGAAATCTAGCCTAGCAAAATTGGAGCAAAGCTTTACCTTCAGGTTAGATGTTTTCAGCTTCAAATGTTGGAGGATCTGATCTGATCCTTAGGTTGTATATGTGATCGGCCACCAAACTGGAAAACCGAAGAACTCAGGCTGAGCTGCCTTGAAGAAGTACGGATCTTGGGCTTTGCAGGAACTGAGCATGAGGTCGCTCGTTTGAAACGGTTATTCAGCCGGGCAACAGTTCTCAAAAGGATGATGGTAACATTCCATGGCTCCTCCACTGAGAGCGACTTGAACTATGCAGCGTCTCCAAAGCATGTGTCGTCCGAGAGTGTTAAGGATGCGGTTATGCCATCACTAGTCACCAAGCGCGTTAAGGATGAATTCGAGCTGCGGAGGGCTGCCAGAGTGAGCCCAGGTGGCTTGGTGGAGGTGGATGATCTCTGCAGTTTTGGTCCCGGTGGAGGGATGTGTCCACTGTTGCCACATTTCCTATCCTTGTTGATCTCTGTAAAAACTCTGTTATTCCCTCTTGGCTTTGGCCTCTTAATACAAAAGACACAGCTTGTGTGTTCTTGAAAAAGTAATAGTTGTGTATTTTTGCTTTTAGTGATGGCTCAACTTGGAGATTGGGTGCAAAATTAGTATCAATTCTTTCATGCTTCATGTTGCCCTATTTGGAGATGCATATCTGGGTTGGTCTCATCTAATGTGAGATCCTATACTAGTACAGTACCTCCCGGAGTATCTATTAGGGTCAATAATCTAAGAGCATCTTCATACCTTGCTGCCTAAACTACAATGAGCCCAATAGATGGTTTATTGGCTTCTGTAGAAGCCTAGATGCTCTACACCATCCAAGATCCATCATCTAGCAATGCTGGCAAACAAGTCGCATTTTATTTCATGAAATTAAGAAGCGTTACATTACTAAATCATCCCTAAGAAAACACTCCAAAATTACACAAGCATTCTTGTGGCCGCAGCAGCAACAGAGCAACATATAGCAGTAGAGTTCTTGTAAACGCTCCAGGATTTTACAGTAAGTAGATGTAGATCAACTGGCGTTCCTCCGTCAGAGGTCGAGGAGCTGGCAGTTCTCCCAGAGCGTCTTGGCGGAGCGGCGGAGCTGCGCGGCCTCGGCCTCGGTGAGGTCCATCTCGGCGACGCCGAGGATGCCGCCGCGGCCAAGGCGGGCGGGCAGGCTGAGGAACACCTCGTGGCCGTCTGAGATGCCATGGAAGCCCGAGGCAAGGACAGAGACAGGGTGCACGCGGCGCTGGTCGCGGAGGAGGGAAGCAGCGAGGCTGGCGACAGAGTAGCCAATGGCCCAAGAGGTGTACCCCTTGAGGCCGATCACCTCGTAGGCGCCGCCCACCACGGCGCGCCGGATCCCCTCCAGCGCCGCCTCGTCGAAGTTCCGGTGGCTGTCGCGCAGCGACTTGAACGCCGGCATCCCGCCCACGCTGATGCTCGACCAGATCGCCACCGAGCTGTCGCCGTGCTCACCCACCATGTATGCCTGCACAGGGACCCGTTATATCTGCTTGGTTAGTCAGGGATCATTTCCAGTAGTCTATTATCAACGAGCATGCATCATTCTCCAACTGTGATAAAAATTCAGTCTTCTCCAACACATTCAATCCAATGTTGATTAATTTTCTCGGAGGGACAGAAACTCATCCCTAGGTTCAGAATTCTCAGATTACACTGGTACTCCCATCACATTACTAGGGAGTTGGGTACCATACATAAGTACTCAAATTCTTTCTGAAAAGAGATATTTATAGCATGATACCGATAGGTAAATATTCTATGTGATATTGATGCATTATAGGTTTATCTCAATTCGGCGTTTTCGTAATCAAATTCAGTAAACACTTGCGAATTGTGTACAAAACAAGACTGAACTTAAAGAATAACACTATACCATATGGTATTTGATTTCGTCATACTATATATATATATATATATAGACACACACACACACACATTAGGAATTAAAAGACGGTTTCTTTGCCTTCAAGTAACATCACATTTTTCAGTTGCGTACCATTTCCACCAAAAAAATTGCGTAATGTTCTTAAGTAGATTTCACCTGCAAGTCATCTTTGATACGTACTGTTACTATAAATCAATTTAATGCTATTTTAAGTAAAGTGATGGCAAATGCTGTCATACTGTCCATTTATTTACTTTTGTAGATACCACGATCACCCATGCTGAATAGAAGTTCCATTTAGTAAATCTGTTATCTAGTTTCAAATGTCGATGTAATTACTGTACTGATATGAACAGAGTAGCTATCGATCACCAAACACATGATCTAGGAGTGATTATCCACCTACCAGACAAACTAAGAAAGTCTAGCTTGTTCGGGGGAAAAACAACACGAAAGATTGCACGTCAAAAATCCTCTTTCATGGTTACTAATTCTGTAAAATCAAACATCGATCGATACTGAACCGAACCCAAGTTTACTGAAGTTGTTATCTAGTTTCAAATGTCACAATAATTTCCAACTACCGCACTTACCCAGCCATCCCATAGTTAATTAAACATATGGACAAAGTAGTAGGTATCGATCCACAAAACACATGATCCAAAAGTGATCAACAAGCCTGGCCGTTCGGAAAAATACAATATACGCACTACTGAATGTCGACACTGAGCTATACTAATGGACAGTGTCGCATGGTTAGACCAGTGAAGGAGAGGCACATGCTCCCACGGCGCCACCGCCGCGTGGCATCACCCTACTGACTGATTAGTGAGTACTGACTCCACTGTCCAATCCCGCGACGAGCTAGCTCGATGGAGCTAATGAATCATCAGAGATTCATGGATGGATTGAAGGATGGATCCAGGAGTGAGTTACAAGTATTACCTGCACGTCCTGCGCGTTGACATCGAGGTGCTCGGCGATGAGGAACCTGAAGCGGGAGGAGTCGAGGTTGGTGCCGGAGCCGATGACGCGGCTGGCGGGGAAGCCGGAGAGCCTCCATGCGACGTAGGTGAGCACGTCGACGGGGTTGGAGACGACGAGCAGCAGCGCCTCGGGGGAGTGCTCGGCGACGGGCGGCACGATCTTGCGGTAGAGGGCGACGTTCCGCTGCAGCAGGTTGAGCCTGGTCTCGCCGGGGATCTGCCTGGCCCCCGCCGTGACGATGACGAGGTCGGAGTTCCTGGTGACGGCGGCGTCGGTGCCGGAGACGATGCGGACGCGCGGGAGGAAGGCGGCGGCGTGCTGCAGGTCGAGCGCCTCGCCGCGGAGCTTGTCCGGGAGCGCGTCGACGAGCGCGATCTCGTCGGCCAGGTTCTGGGTGAGGATGGTCTGCGCGATGGCCATGCCCACGTTGCCGGCGCCGATGACGGAGACCTTGGTGAGGCGGCGGTGCGGGGCGGCGGAGGAGGTCGGGGTGGCCGGCGGGCAGCCGTCGGCCACGGGCCGGAAGAAGCCCGACGACGCGCCGCCGGAGTCGAAGCCCAGCTCCGACAGCGACGACGCCTTGTGCATCCTCCTCGACGGGGTGGGGAGGGGATGGGATGGGATGGGATGCTGGTCGGAAGAACAAATGCGGGGCCGGGATTGGGATCGGACGATGAACTTGAACTTGTTCTTGGTGGGGAATGGAATGGGAATGGCCAATGCCAGTTTATAAGCGAATCCTGGGAAAGTGAAACCGCTTATTGGTTACCGGTTTTGACTAGTCGTGGTTTGGGACTTCACTTTATCAAGGACAGGAAGAAAAGTCCTCCAAACCGGGATTATTTTACGGCGGCTGCTACACGTAAACCGGCTGATGGCAGGGATTTTTAAACCGCCTTGCCAGCCGTTGATTTCCGTTGATTAGGGCCGCTTGATCTCTGGAGTCTGGACCATCACTTCCATCCCAAATAGCCCTATATCTCTCCCGCAACGACTCCAGCCAGCCAGCCATCGGAGATATGCACAACATTTTCGTTTCCCAGGTCGCGGTAGCCCCGTCACCGGTCATCTCTCGCCATGCACGGCCACGACTGCAGCCGCGGGATGCAATAATGACGCTGCTGCGACAATCCTTGAAACACCGGCAATGCTCCGGCGGCCTGGCAATGCTCCAACACAACACATGTGATGCTTCGTTGCAACACCGGTGATGCTTCGACGGCCCGAACATGCTCCATTGCAGCAACAGCGATGCTTCGACGGCCCGACGATGCTTTATTACAGCACAGGCGATGCTCCAACGGCCCGAACGGTGCTCCATTGCAGCAATGGCGATGCTCCGATGGCCCCAACGATGCTTCACTACAGCACCGATGATGTTCCGACGTCCCGAAGACGCTCGATAGCAACACCGGCGATGTTTTCTGCAAAACTCACTGAAGCATGCCTCTTTGCATGGCGTCGATGCCATCATGGCACACCTCGTTGTCGTCGAAGCATTTGTGCAATCGTCGACATGGTCGTGATTGTCGAAGCATCGCCACGACCATTGAAGCATGCCTTGTTGCATGGCCACGGTTTTCAACACCGTCATGGCATACCTCGTCGCCCCGGCCGTTGAAGTCGTCACGGTTATGGAGGCATTGCCAGGGTCATTGAAGCACGCCTGTCGCCGCGGTCATTGAAGCTTCATCGCGGCCGTCAACCACGTCATGGTCGTTAAAGCTGTAAACGAGCCTAACTACCTCTGCATGCCGTTGTAGTCTCTCTAGTCTTTAGTTAGCTAGTCCACAGGGAGGTTGTTAGCCACGATTGAGTCTGCACTGACCGCATGCATGATCAATGAATGTCTCGGGTTGCATGCATGTTAGCAGCCTTTCTGCTGCATTGCAGCTCGTGGTCCTCTGTAACACCACGATGGCTCCGCCATGAAGCACCAACGGCCCGTTAAAAAAAATGAAGCACCAACGGTTCGCTCCTTTGCAGCGTCAAACGCCGCCGGTCGGCTCTCCACAACCATCAACGACTGGCAAAATCACGGCGGGTTCCCCTGAAAGCACCGGTGGCCTCTTTTGCAACAGCCCGCGGTGGTCCCTATAGCATCTAGCGCCGGCAAGGAGCGGTGGCCTGGTGAGCACCAGCTCACCAGAGGAAGGCGCTTAGGGCATGGCCAATGCTCCATGCTGGAGTGCTGCCCCATGATCCACGTCGGATTAAAAAACATACTCCCTCCGTTCTGAACTACTTGTCTTATATTTGTCTAGATACGGAGGTATCTAGCACTAAAATGAGTCTAGATACATCTGTATCTAGACAAATCCAAGACAACTAATTCGGAACGGAGGGAGTAGAAAGGAAAAGGATGCTGCTTGCAGAGCTGAACGGTCTCTTGCAGAAGAGGCTGGTGCTTCAATCAAAAAGGAGAAGAAAAGTAGAGGAAAGAGGCAAAATCACAGAGAAAGAGCACTATAGGACCACACAGGACATGTACAGCCATGGATTCAGAGTAAAAGGAATATCATAAGAGAGAGGATATGGGACGGACCAAATCAAGAATGAAGCTGATGCTTCATCTACTTTACTCCTACGTGGATGTTGGGGCAGCAGCATGGTGCTGCCCCCATTGTACATGCCCTTAGGTAGAGAGAGAGAGAGAGAGAGAGAGCGCGGAGGGGATCCAGAGCGCGAGGACACAACCAGAATGATTGGGCCGACTGCCGAGAGGAAGAAAATGGGAAGCGGTGCGCTGGTCCCATGTCACGTGGCGCATAAGGGGGGCCGCTTAGGATGCGGCAAAATCAGTCGGTTTAAAAGAAACGTTTCCCTTATTTTACTCGGGCAGTTGTGCTGGACAATGCCTACCATCCGACTTCCGCGTCCACGTACCGCCTCGCGAGTCGCCGCCTCAAGCCCACATTAGGGCATGTACAATGGTTCTATCTTAGCAATGCCACGTAAGATAAATGATGAGATGGAGGAAAGAGAAATCATAAGAAAAAGCTTGTCTTCTCTTATTTAAGATAAGACAAGAGATGACCTCTTAGCACAATATGTCTCACCATATTTTTAGGAATAACTAATTATTGAAGATAAGGCTAAGAGATGACCCATTGTAAACATGTATTTTTGTCATCTCTACATTACATGCAAGACTTAAGATAAGACTATGTTATCAACCATTATACATGCCCTTAGCCGTCTCCTTCATGACGTGGCCCAGGCCGTTCCTCTAAGCCCGGGGAGGGCCAATGCATAACCCCAGGGTGATGCCTCATATGTCATGATCGGATAACAGAAAAAGTAGATTTGGATGGAGAAGCGGAATCCTTTTTAGGAAACGAGTGCTTGAAAGAAAAAGTGTGGTCCGATGCATAAAGTTGAAAAAGTTGAAGTAAAGAGTATGGATGCATGTGTAATGAAAGTCACTTTTTATTTTTTGATGAGGCACACTAATAGTAGCTTGCATGGGAAAGAACCAATCAACATAGATGCTTCAAATTACTTTTTGGCATGAGGCATCTGTATCCATATGCCACCATTGTACATGCCCTAAGCCCGGGGAGGCCGGTTCTTTGTCACACCCTAGCTAGTTCATGCATTTAAAGTGCTTGCATCATGTTTAAATCATCAAAAACTTGGAAATGGGGATGACAGAACCCCAGCACCCCCTCTGAAACCAACTAGGATTTACTAAAAATATTTTCAATGAACCTGAAATGTTCTTTTAAAATGTTCATCATCTTTGCTTTGGTCCTAAACCTCTGACAAAAATGATGTACAATTTTATAGGTCATCCTAAGGTCACTGGATTAAATCTTTAGTTATTTGAATTTGGGCATTTAAAATACTAGTAAATATTTTGAATGCTCAAATAATCTTAAACTAAAATGTTTCATGTTGGATTTCTTCCAAATAGGGGCCATGAGAAGTTTGGTGATTTTTGGAAGTACCTAGCTATTTTTAGAAATGCCACAAACTTGCAGAAATAAAACAAAACAGAATTAAATAAAAAAGAGAAAACTTACCTGGCCGCAACCCACCTCCCGGCCCACCTGGCGGCCCAGCACTGTGCTGGCCCATGCCAGCCAGCTGCTTCTTCTTCGCCAGCCAGGCAGGAGGGACACCACGACGCCGCCGAGCTCGCCACGGCGCCAGCTGCTTGCCGCTTGCCCCTGATCGCGTTGGACGTCCTCCACGTCGCCCGCTCGACCGCCTGGACACCTCACTCTCCTCCTGCTCCTCTCTCTCGCCCTCTCCTCGCCATGGCCGATGCTGTCGCGCCCGCGCCACCGTGAAACTCGCATCCACCGTCGTCCCTGCGCCGTGCTGCCATGTCCACGAGCTCCGTCGTCGTCTGCTTTGTCGAGCTAGCCGAGCCCCGACCGCTCGCACGCTCCACTCCGTCTTCTTCGACCTCGTCTTCACCGAACGCCGCCGGAGATCCCCTTCGCCGTCACCGTCGCACCAGTTCATCCCCGACCTCGCTGTCTTCCTCGTTGTGACCGCCGTAAGCCCAGCTACCTCCTACTCCTCTCCGTTTGCCTTCTTGAGCACCGCAGCGACCGCACCAAGCTCGACCGCACCCGTCGCTGCCACCACACGTCGCCGTCGTGGCCACAACCATGTTGGCTCGAAACCGAGCACACCATCGTCTTCACCGCACTCGCAGGAGCCCGTAGCACCACTCCACGCACCTCATCGTGCCTCCTAGCGACGAGTTCGAGCTCGCCCGAGCTCCGGCGGCCGCCACACTCGTCGTCGGTGACGTTTCCGGCCACCCCAGCTCCACCCACTGCCACCACTCGACGCAGCTCACTCCCCGCATCACGTAGATGTGCTCTGCCGTCGTTTTGGTCGCCGGAGCATAAATCCCGCATTGCCCCGTCGCGTTTGGCCTCGCCGGCGGCTAAACGCCGGCGAGTTTGACCCCGCTGACCGCGTTTGACTCCGGGTGGGCCCAGTTTGACCCCCTGGGTCTATAACAAGTGGGACCCGCCTGCTAATTAAGTTAGGATTAGGACTAACTAAAAATTAGTTAAACTAATGAAACTGACACGTGGGATCCACTGGCTAGGTTTGACCTGGACCGTCCCCGTTGACTGCTGACGTCACCCTGACGCAATGCTGACGTAGTAATCATTTATTGGATTTATTCTTATACAGGAAATTCCAGAAAATGTTCTAAACTTCAAAAATTCATAGAAACTAATCTGTAACTCCAAATGCAAAGATTTATATATGAAAAGTGATAAGAAAAATCCAATCTTTCCATCTGTAATGCTTTCATGCATGTCAGAACACTTTAACCTTGTTGTTTAAGTGAAACAAGCTAATGCACTAATATGACTTCATATCATGAGCTTTTATTTGAATCTTTGATTCAAATGGACTCAAACCAACATGTTTTAGAATGAATTAGCCAAAAAACACAACCATATTGCCATGTCATAGCATGCATCATATTGTTGCATATTTCCATGTGATGATTGTGTTTCGTTGTGTCTTTCGTGGTAGGTTCTGCCTCTGAGGATATCTACGAATATCCGACTGAAGGGCAGTACCGTACTACCACTCCATCAGGCAAGCAA